TTTTAAAAACGTTTAAATACAAATCGCGATATTGGGTTTTAAAAACGCAAAAATACAAATCGCGATATTGGGTTTTAAAAACGCTTAAATACAAATCGCGATATTGAATTTTTAAATTGCGTGAATGGGAATTGCGAGTAATGATTTTTAAATCGTGTAAAAACGAATCTCAACAAGTAACTTTTAAATCAGTTAAATACGAAAATCGATGATTTACATAAAAATCATCTAAATAAGAATCGCAATTTTAGCAGATTCTGGCCCAGTTCCTAATATTTAAAATTCTGTAAATCAGCCAATCAAAAGAAATCAAATATCAGCGGCCGAAACGATACTGCTTAGGACTTTTTTTCTTTTTTTCCAATCTATAGTGGAAGTCGGAGTTGTCAAGGCAACAGCGTACATGTCGAAATTCTACCCATTTTCTTCTGAAGATCATTTTATCAGGAGGCTACTGCAGGGGGGGGGGGGTTCGTNGCTACTGGGGGGGGGGGGGAGTTCGTCGCAAGTCCGACTCCCCAAAAGTTTTTGGAACATAGTCCGAAATTTTAAAAAGTCTTTCATCCCTGAAAAGATAAGAGAGTAGTGGAGTAGGAGACGGCATTGTTTTACCAAGGTCAACCACTTTTACCCCAGCCAGCAGATTGACATGTGAAGAAAGGTTTATTGGGGGCTTCAATACTTTCGCTCTGCGGAAGAAAAAAATTTTCAACAAAATATTATTTACTGCATAAAAATTTTTTCAGAACGGAAATTTATGAAAAATGAGCGGAAGATATGGAAAAATCTGAAAAAAGCGGAAATCAGCAGATCTGCGGAAGAATCACATCCCTGAAATTCCTAAACCCTTTTTTAGCTAAACAACCACTATAAAGGTCAAAATTTTTTCCACACCAACCTATATAAAAGTTTTTTAATAAAAGTCTATTAAACAATTTTTATATTTTTGTTATACTCTTTAATCAATTATTTCATTGAAAATTCCTATTGATCAATGAATTTATATTATAACTTCCCCATAGCGAAATTCTTATTAAGTGTTTTAACTGGTGTTTGAATGGAATTTAATTCCCTTTATCACCTTTGATTTTAAATTAAAATATCAACTAAATATTATAGCTCATAAATTGTATTAACTAAACGTAATTTATAAGCTAACAGTAAAATGTTCGAAGTGTAGGAAAAAATAAAAAAAAAGAATGAAGGAAGTTAAAATACCTTAAATCTCTTTAAAATATATTTTTGAAAAAAAAAAAAAAAAATCTTAGAAAATAACAGCTGTGAGGTAAAAAAAAAAAAAATCTAAGAAAATAACAGCTGTAGGTGAAATTGTACCCATGCTTATATGGAAGTTTAATAGAAATAATTTTAATTACAAATGAATTTTACAAGACCAGGGTTCCTACTCAATTAACAAAGCAAAAATTAAGCACTATTAAGGACTTTAAAAATAAATCCATAAATAAAAAACAATTTTATTATAATGTAAGCACTGATATAATTGTATTAATTAACCGGACTCACCAAGAAAGTACCAGGCAATTTTTGCAAACCCGGATCTGTTTTTTTCAAATTGTTAAAGGTTAATGTTATCAATGAAACTTATCCGTATTCCATTTTTAACAATTTCCAAATTTTTCATTTTTTCAAAAATTAGCAATTTTTTCATGCATATTTAAAAAAAAAAAAAANAAAAAAAAAAAAAAAAAAAAAAAAGAGTAAATAAAAAAAATTTGGCAAAAACAATGAAACAATTATTACAAGTTTTTATATTTCGCTACTGACTTGCAACACACATTCAGTCGTGGGCTGATCTCTCTAAATATTCAGTTAAGCCAAAAAAAATTCTTTCTTTTCTACTAATAAAATGTTTTATTTATAAGGGTATATTTTAAGAATTAATGGTAAAAAGTTGAATTAAAGTTACACATGAGAATAGTTTTCTTAACTGTGCCATGATAAATTAAGTCTTATTTTGAGTAAAGACAGGCCATACTAATATCTAAGCAACTTAAATCATTCCACTTTCTTTCTCATTAGGCTTAATTTTTTAAAAAAAATTTATTGCAATAAATATTTTTATGAAAATTTTTATGGAATAAAAATACAATTATGCTTGAGAAGATTTATAATTTCAATAACCAATGTTTTTTGTTAGTTCTTGGTAAAACATAAACAAAAGGGTTTGAAACGATTTTTCAAAGGTTTAAACACATTTCTATGGCCAGGAAATTGATAAGGTTCCTTAATTAACTAATACTGATAAGTTATTTATTGTTTAATTATTTATAGATATTTACTAGTAATATTAAGTTACCACTTTTATTCTTAACAATTATATACTAACACAGTTTTTGATTTTTTTCAAAAAATACTCAGAGAATAATTTTATAAATTTAGAAGTGTTTATGTAGTGCGATTTCTTATACTTATCAATGAAATTTAAAGCCTTAAGAGGTTTGCGGGATTGACAACAAATTACCTACAGAATTTTTTTTTTTTGATTACCCTATGCCAAAAAATGTAGCAATGTAGCTATGCCAAAAAATATGCAATATTTGCACACATTTTTGTAAGCCTAGCTTAAATATTTATGGAGATATTAATATAAAAAAATATTTTTTTGTCTTACATTTTTGTTTTAACTTTAAAAATATTTAATAAAATTAAACAAAATCATTGATTCAAAATTTGAGTAATTAAAGCAGTTCTTTCATACGACATATGCATAGGAAAGATTTAACTTTTTTCTTAATTTTGTAATGAATAACATTTTGCAACTAATAAAAAAAGTCAGATTTGAAAATCTTAAAGTAATTTTTTAAGTAGTTTTCATACTTTTTAAAAGAAAGCCAAAAATGATGAGGGGTTTGTTGGGGATTATCTCCATTAAAGATATTTTTTCATACGCATATTTTCTTTCCTTATATAATCATATTTCTGTGTATGAACATTTATTGTGAGGTATTATCATTTGTTATTTAATTTTGTTTTATGCAGGGATGAGAGTAGTCAGAAAGTAAAAAAGAGGAAATCCAAGAATGAATATATTTATATATCCAAACATTTGACGAAAAAGTGAGATTTTTAAACTTGTAAACCATGTGATTATAAATCTCGATGTATTTTAAAATTGTATGAATATATGAATATGAAATTCTACATCAAATTTAAAAAATTCTAAAATACAAATCATGACGCGTAATTTTTAGATCACGTTAATACGAATCACGATGCATAAATTTTAAATCGCGCGAATACGAATCCCAATGCCTAATTTTTAAAGCACGTATAAATACAAAAATCAATGTTATAATAACTGCAAAAACGAATAAAAACATTGGATTTTAAGATCGCGTGAATACGAATTGATACATAGGGTTTTAAAAGCGCGTAAATACAAATAATGGATTTTTAAATCTCGTAAATAGGACACGCAATGTATGATATTTAAATCGCCTGAATAAGAATCACAATGTTCAACTTTTAAATCAAGTAAATATGAAAATCGTATTTACTTGAATCGTTTGAAAACAAAATCTCGATTTTAAAAATGTATAAATACAAAACGCGATATTGGATGTTAAATCTCATAAATAAGAATCATAATGTACGATGTTTAAATAGCGTAAATACGAATCACAATACGCAACTTTTAAATTCCTACCCTTTTTTTTCTCCGTTTACTTTCAAGTCAGAAAACAGGAAGCAGTGATGCCTGAATTACGAAAATACAAATTATCCGGCGGAAGGATAAAAATACGGAAAATCTTATTTTCTGTGCTACAAAATAGTAGAAAATAGCTAAAATAAGTAAAAATGCACAAGGATTAGCAGCTAGTAGGACGCAGTTTGAATTTTCTCTTTATCTTTGAAAATCGTAAATAAATATAATTATTTCAGTTCAACAACTAAATTTTAAAAAAAGCGGGATATTTATTTAAAAAAATCAAAACTTTTTAGAGAATCAGAGTTTTTGATAAAAAGGCTGAAATTCGAGAGACAAAAGAGAAAAACTGCTAAAAAGCAGAAAAATCTCATCCCTGTGTAAAGGTCAACCAATTTTATCCCAAGGAAATGATTTTTAGAGAAACTTCAGAGGGAGGAATGAGGACTTCAATACTTTCGCTCCGTGAAAAATTAAATTCCACATAACTTGTGAAAAAAAAATTTCGGCAGAAATTAGAGGGGGAAAAAAGCGGAAATCCGCGAAAGAATCCCTGTTTACGATACAAAATAATATTAAACCCATTAGAAAAATACCAAGAGCTACTAAATTTGTTGTCAAATTCGATTCACTACAAAATTCTGGGAAAAAAAGCCAACTTTTTTCAGCACATGCCCAGCATAAAAGAACTATTTTAATTGTTTATATATTGCACAGTATAAAAGAACTTATTTAATGGTTTATATATTGCACAGTTTTCAATGATTCTTTTTTCAAATTTTAAAGGTAAAATTTTGTTTATACTTTTAAAATTAGAGCAAAAAATTAGCTTTTTCTTTAAAAAAAATATGTTCATATTGCCATAAATATTTAAGCTAGGTTAACAAAGTTTTGTACAATTATTGCAGATAATAACCCACGTAATTGTTACAAGTTATAAATTTAATGATACATTTTTTGACATGGGGTGCTCAAAAACACTATTTTTCATTTGTAACTAATTGCAAGTCCTTCAAACCTCTAAAAGTAGCTGTTTAAATTTCATAGTTACATATTGCTCAAAAGACTTAAATTCAGATATCTTTTAAAAATTAAAACTAAGTTGTTAAAGTAAGATTTTAAAATCAACCACATGATTATTAATCAGAGGACTTTTTGCAGTGAAATTTCCTAACATATAAATAATAATCAAAAGTTTAAGAGGTAAGAAGTTTATTTAATGAAAAATTAAGAGGAAAGAATTTTTTTTGTTAGGGTTTTTAAACATAAATTTAGATACCTTCATGTAAAGTAAAAAAATATTATATGCATTTTAAAGTAGATAAAATAGAAATAAGTTTTGATTCCCAAACAATTATATTAATATTTAAAATTTAATTTTTTTCAGAGGTATTAAAAATTGTTACTATTTGTTCAAAAGAACATAAATTCAAAAACTTATTAGTTTAGTACAAAATCTGATTTCACCTTTTTTGTTTACCCATTCAGACTGTATTTAAATTTATGTAGAATCATTACATTTATATATCATTTTTATGATACATACCTCTTGAACCAGCAATGAATCCCAATATTAAAGCCTTTTCAGGCCTTGTAACCTTATTTGATTTATTAAACATGTCTTGGGCTTCTTGCATTTGTTCTTTCTACAAAGACAATGGAAAGAAAGAGAAAATTATTTATGTGTTTAATTTAAATGTAAAACATGTTTTATAAACAAACTTTTCAAACATTTAATTTGGCTACACGAAAACAAATTCAATAAAAGAGCTTCCAGTGAAATGATAAATAAAACACTATTTTCCTGAGTATAGTCTAAACTCATCCAATATTTTTAATCTTAAACAAAATGGTAAATTTTGCATTTAATGGGTATATAAGTTGACCACTGTATTTAAAATTGTTGGAAAAAACTTAAAAACTGCTAATCTAAAAATAATGACATAAAAATATTTTTTAATAACAAAACTGCAACGAGTCTGAAACTGAATTAGAACAGGATTTTAGAATTCCCAAATCAATAGTATCAGCTCAAAGGTTATAAAAGATGTTAATATGTATTATAAAGGCTTAAGTGAACTCCCAAATTTTATTGCAATTTAGGAGACTAATGCACCATAAAAAAAGAGAAACTATTACTGCATTTCCATGAAATAAATTAGAACTAGTAGCAAACATTTATATAGATTAATCTGGGTGCTGATGTATCCAGATTAAAATAGGGAATTTTCTCAGCTAAATAAAAAATCATTAAACTTTTAATAACATTTTACTAGGGATAATTTCTAGATCTCAAAGCACATTATGATAAGATTATTCAATTATTTGTAAAAATACTCAAAATTCAGAAAACAGAATCAGAGAAATATATTCTAGCAAAATAAAAGCAATTAAACAACAAACCGTAAGAGACAGTCCTTTCTTTGCAGGTGGAGGAGGTTGCACTATAGTGTGCATTTGAACTTGTTGCTGTGGTTGTATTGCAGGCGGTTGTTGTATAACCTGTGTCTGGATCTGTTGTTGTGGTTGCACGGTCATGTGTTGAAGCTGCAATGACGCACTTCCTATTGCAGCAAGATTTCCAATTGTTGCAGTGTGAATAACTTGAGGTTTAGGAGTTTCAGGATTAGTTGCCTGAACATTATTTATGACTTGAGTAGGAGCCTGAACTTGATTCTGAGGCTGCTCAGCAGCTGGAAGAATAGGAGTGAAGTTTTCTCTGGGTTTGATAGTTTGCTGAGCAGGAGTAGTAATGACTGAAATGGGAAAAAAAAGTTAAAAGCTGATTGATATATATATATACATAAAAAGAAAATAAAAAGCAGCAGCTCACTAATCTGCAACTGAAGTTTACGAAATCTGGGAAATTTTAGCTAGTAAATTTTAATTAAATTAAATTTCTGTAATACTTTTTAAATCTATTTTTACATTTTTAGCAAGACGGTCGAAATCCTTATTTTTCTAGATTGCAAAAAGGTGTAAAATCATCTCTCAAGTTAGAGAGCTTCTTTAAAATGAAAACTTGAAAATTTCTCAATTTCTTCAAATTGTAAATTAGAAAATGTAAATTATTTGTTTCTATTACCTACTATAATTTTTGAAGCATCTAAAAATTTTTTATGTAAAATATTGGCAGATGGGAAATTGTTAAATGTCTAAAGTCTTTTAACATGTTGACTGCTATGTATGTTTGTAATTAATGTTGCCCACCAGAGATGCTAGAATATTAAAGCGTGAGTTGCTAGCTCATTCCAATATATAAGGCAAACTGTTGTATAGATTATTCAGAACAACTGTTACGAAAAACACAGTACCTAATTTTACCGAAAATAGTCGCAAATGCTTTGATGCTTTATAAACGTGTGATAAAAAATGTAAATACAAAATGATTCAAAGAATAGATAGGGCAAATTTTTAAGACTTCCTTATGTTAGACAAAGTCAGTATAACAATGCTGTTCACATAAATTATTCCGGGAAGAGCATTAGTCAAGCATGGAAACAATGTTATTCAGATTAAAGGTGTGAAATGATCAAACGTATAAGAAAATATCAACCTTTTGTCTAAAGTGTCCTGATCAACCTCAGTTTTGTTCAGAATGTTTTAGACCCTCAATAAATTTTTTTAATAAACCATTTTCATAATGATTAGATAGTTTTATTACATTCTGCTGAACAATTGTTCAACATTTTTTAGGATCATTAGTAAATAGTAACATGACATATTGGCCAATACCAGCAGTTTTCTTAAAACATAGACAAAATTGAAAACTAAAGAAAGTTTTTTTTAAAAAGTAGAGCTTTATAGCTACTGCAAATATTGAATCAGTAAATTGAACTGCCGTAAAGATCTTTAAGCAATTTGATTGAAATAGATATAAACTAGTGAATTGATCTACCCTTTATGAAAAATTTCCTGCAATTCCTTTTCAGCTCCCTAGTTAAATAATTACGTCTAATATAATCAACCTTGAAATTCAGCATTTATTTATTTACTAAAACTTAATTACTATGTTTTAATTATTCTAACAAACATTTTATTGTTTTAATGGATTTGAGCAGCATACTGTTTCAAAGAAATAGCATAAGCATTAATAAAAAATATTAATTAGTAAAAATAAAATGTTTTTTTATTTGCTATTGAATCAAAAAGGAAAGGACGGGAATTTCTCCTTCTAAAATATAAAATGAAAGTGAGAAAAAAATATAAAAGCTTTACAAAAAATTTAAGATGTGACTTGGCATTCAATTTTGAAAAGTAGTTTTCTTCAGATTCGTTCATGCCTTTGACCAGTCTATTTCACATCTTTAACCTTATCATAGATATTAATAAAATATTTTATAGCTAATAAAAGTTATTAAATAGGTCACTTAGTGGGAAGTAAAATTTATTTTTATTAAAATTTTTTAAATTTTATTTTTAATTAAAATTTTTTAAATTCTATTTTTAATTAAAATTTTTTAAATTCTATTTTTAATTAAAAGAAAAAAAAGAGTATGACTATATTATAATGAGACAAGCTTAATTTAGAGTTCCTAAAATTATAATTTATTTTTACTGCCTACAAATATTTAGTAGGAACTATTTATTCTTAGAAATATAACCAGACAGATTTTTACCAAGAAAATTAGAAATAATGATAACTTGAGCAATAAGCTAAGGCTTACAAAAGATTACTTTAAAATATTTATATGCATATATACAAGAACATTTCTCCAGTAACTAAACAATGGCAGATGGGAGTTAAACTGCTGTGCCTTTTAATTACAAACATACAATTATAGAGAAAGCCAGTTTGGTAATTAATAAATCAAGCAAATACTTTTTTGATTTGCTTAAACCTCAATTCACACATCTAATTACAGAATTTAAATAACTATGTTTTTTAAGCAATTAAAGAAACTTAAAAAACACTGATTTATAATAGCAGTAACATTTATTTGGTTTCTAAATATTGTTTCAAGTTACAAAAGAGCAATTACCTCCATTTATAAAAAAAAATATATACATTTCAATGAGGCATGCAGGCAAATCAAAATAAAACATCCAATATTCTTTATAAAATTTTCCTTACCATTGGAACTTGAAAAAAAGGATGAATTATAACTGTTTATAAGTCTCGCTAATTCTTAATTCTTACATTTTGTGGAAAAAATCTGTTTTAATAGATTAAAAAATCTGGCAATAATGGATTATAATATGTATTGACATGAAAAATAAAAGTTTTTATGACATTAAAATTTTATCTCATACTTAGAAGCTGTTTATGCATATTGCCATTATGTTGAAAGAACAGGAATTAGTTTAATGCAATAATTTTTGTCAGTAATCACTAAAAAAAATTTAAAACTAAAATAATGAGGTTCACACAAACATTTAGTGCAAGATATTTATAAAATAATATTTGCAAAAGTGAGCTGAGTAAATATTAAAAATTTAAATTGAATTTATATTTGATAAAAAGCTATTCTATGTATATCAAATACACACACAAAAAAAAAAATTATAAGGAAATAGGGTAACACTGTAGGCTTAATAATAGATTCCTATTATCAAAAATGTTTTTTTTTTTTGTTTTTTGAAAAGAGGAATTAAGGAGGCCTATCATTACAGGAAAAATGAACTAGGTATTTCATTTCAAAGATAAATTAAAAAAAAAAAAAGTGCTTTATTGAATCTGAGAATAATTTACAGATATTAAGAATAAACTTTACACCAAAATCATATTAATCAAAAATGTCAGAAGCCAAAACACAACAAGCTTAAGCAATGTAAATTTAGTGGTTATATGGTTATGGTTAAAGCAAGACAAGTTAATACAGCAAACAAAAAATCTTAAACATAATGCTAGAGAAGTGAATAACAACAGGTAAAGAATTTGTACCTTTCTTACTTCCCGAGTGGGTCAGTAAAGGCGTTAATGATTAGAGTTAAAATAATATTACCCGATGGATTAGCTTTCAGAATTATTTTAGTTACTACTGCTTTACCAGGTAAAGTTGGAGTAGTGTTTGCTGAAGTTGGCAATGCATTTGTGGATGCAGGTGGCACATATGTTGGAGTAGCTGAACCAGGAGCAATAACTGCTATACTCGGCCCAGAAATCTAAAAACAAAATTTTAACTTTTTAGATATTTACTATAGGTAGAGCTTGCTATAAATTTGCTCTTCTTTTCCTCAAAGTAAGTTCATGAAATATGACCAATCCTGTTAACTTGTAGCCATTGTCCCCTCTTATTCAAACTTGGAAAAGTGCATCAGTTTACTTTAGAATTAGGCTTTTAATATATTTTTCTATATCAAATTTTTATGTTTTACAATCACATTCTTAATAGCGATATAGCAATTTAACTATTTATTCAACAAAGGTAACATTTTACATATTAGAGGAATAATTTGTCACAGCAAGCAAAATGCTTTTTTTTTCAGTATCACAATTTAATCGATCTGTAGATATATGAATGGGTCCGCCCTATAAACGGGTGTGTGGAAGACATTTTAACTTTGATTGCATTTCTTTTGTAAACATATTTCACATTGCCATTACATATAACTTTTCAAGCTCAATTTCACAATTTTGCCTGTCTGTTACTCTTTGTGAAAACTTTACTATAGCTGAAATTGTAACACTAGATATTTTTCATACGAATTCTTCAATTCGAGATAACATTAAAAATATCCACGAGCCATGCACAAAGATGTCAGTTTCCTATCTGTTTATTCAGGAACTGACTCATCAAAAACATACAAGCATGTTCGAACCTTTGAGATATTTCAAAATCAATAACGATTCTAAAGTCAAATATTTAAATTTAACTAAGAATAAACAAAACTTACAATACAGCTCAGAATATCACTATCATATCTTATCACAAAATAGCTTAACTAGAATGCTAACAAGGGATTTTAAGTACTGGCAGGTTGTACTGCTGCCATTTAGTTGTTTATGTATAAAAGGAAATAATTTCAAGATGTATCCTTAAAATGAGGGAGAATTTAGCATATTTAGCTTCTTGAGACAAATCTTGCATACATTTAGAATTTTCACTATTGTTGAGTTACCTTGAAAAATTGTTTAAATGTGCTAATATTTTGCATGAACTATTTCTTCATATAAAAGAGCAAAATGAGAAAATAATAACTTCACAATCCTATAAAAAACAACTCTTTTAATCACTTTAAAATGAATCGTAATGTGTGATTTGTAGATCACTTTTATACGAATCATGTCTATTTTATGAATTGGTTTAATATGATTTTACTGTTTTCATTAAGGGCATCAAGAAATTCCTGCTGTTGTATACACGACAAATCGGAACTTCCTTAGGAAAAAGCTAAATTTATAATTCTTTTTAAAAACACTGGAATTTTGGTATTTTAAAGAAATACAACCACCCCTGTATATTGAAAAAGAAAATGCCCCCGAAAAGTAAAATGTATAATTCCTGCTTAGATGTATAATTCCAGCGGATTTATACATCTTAGCAGGATGTATACCACACAGAGCGTGTGTCTATATTATAATGTTTTTTCGAATGAAGGGAAATTTTAATATAATTACATTTTTAAATTAATAATTCAGTCACACACAATCATGTATGGTTCAATATAACCATTTCATGCCGATCTAAAATACTGTCGTTTTTCACATTTTCTGGACAAAATATTTTTCGACAGATAAGCTATGTCAATCACAACCTCTATATAAAAATGAACATGATTTGCAACTAATAAAAACTCTATGTTTTTTGTTATTATCAGTAAGCTACCTGAGGTGTTGTGAGAAGTCCAGCAGCATAATCTGGAGTAGAAGGTGAAGATGTAATAGGAGGAGTTGCACCTTCTTTCTCTTTCTTTAAATCAGGAGTTTCAACTTCTGCAATTTAAGGTGGAAATAAGAATGCAGTAAAAAATATACAAAATTGAACATAGGGAATTTGAATTAAATACCTGAAATAAACATGCAACACACAATAAATGTGCAATTACAAAAACCAAGAGGATAAAATTTTTTAGTGTAACACATTGTTACAAAATAGTTCCTTATTTAGTTACAAGAAAATCAGTTATATATAATGAAATAAGTTATATGTAACAAGTTGCATATGTATATATATTGAAAGAAAAAAGTAGTATATACCTGGCAATTTCTTCCTGCGTTTAGCATCTCTGCCATAACCCATTGGTTGTTCATCTATTTCAAGCAGCTAAAAACACAGAGTATGTATATTAAAATTTTGCCAACATTTCAATAGAACAGGAGAGATTTTTATGTTTGAAAATAATGTGACAAAAAAAAATTATGTAGAAGAAAAGTTTCTTTTAAATGCAAACACTCTTTCAGAGCACACTATAATTACCAAACACTAGAAACATTTAATTAAATGATTAAAATAAATTTTGTCAGTAGAAGAAAATTCTTCGTGCCCAATATTTCCAGAGAGCAGTTTTATGGTTTGAAATTTCCCTCAGATTATAAGTTCTTTTTTTCAAATTTACTGTTTTCAAAAAATATACTTTTCTTTTTTGCAAAAAAAAAAAATATTTAGCTTTTTAAAAATATTTTTAGAAAGTTTCCATATTGTTACAAATTTTTTTTTTTAATGAAATAATAATAATAAAAAAAAAAATTGTGATTTTACACAATTCTTGAAAAAAACAAACAAACTAGAATGTGTTAAAAATATGAATTCAAAATATGTTAAAATAAATATCCATAAAACTGAAATGAAGAAATAATCAACTTGTATCTTATGTCTTAATATATACGAAACAATCTATTGGTATATATTGACAAATATGTTAGTACCAAGAGTATAGAACATGAACAAAAGTATATAACAAGAGTATGGAACAAATTATATATGAAAAATGTAATAGGTATATTACTTTTATACTCACAATTTTGAAAGCAAGTTTAGAACTGTATACATAAAAACCTGAGCTTAAAAAGTACACATGCAAACCAAATTATAGAATATTTCAAACAGAGCACTAACAGTTGGGAAAAATGAAAAAGTACTTAAACTTTTTTTAATAATAATAATATTTTAGAAATGGTCTTAAAAATAGTAAAGGAGAAGTTTACTTTTATTCCACCATCTTTTCTGCCAGCTGGTGTTCTGGCAGGTGCTCTACTGGGTGGAGTTGAATTTAGACGGCCCAAGGGGCTGTTATTGGCTTTGAAGCCTCCAGGCATTACTCTACTAGGTATACCACGTAATGGTGCTGTTTCAGGGGATGAGGATAAAAAATACTATTAATAAACAACTATATAATGAAATACAAAAATATAATAAAAACTAGAGAACTGAACACTAATAAATATTTTTTGAAATTGAACAATCATAATCAATGACTCATTTATACTTCTTTATTGAAAGTTATAACGTAATGAAACGACACAATTAAATGATGAATAGATTTGATGAAATTAGTGTCCATGTCCAGTATTGTCATAGAAGTTTTGGAAAAAAGGTATTTAAAAAAAAAAAAAAAAATATTAGGCTAAATTATTATAGACTTAATTTTTATAATCGGTCTTTAGATACATTAGTTTTAATTGGTATGTTACACTGACATGTTTCATCCTCTTATTAGTATTAAAATAACATTGAATTAAAAACTACAATTATCTTTATGTAATTTGAAAAAAAGCTTTTATGCTACTTTCTATTCCTGCTGCTATTATACAACTTTCTATTCAAGCTGTTTCGAAAAATTGGTCAAGCCATGGATACTAGAAATTTTAAACTTTTGTAAGCCTCTGACATGAGATTATTACATAAACATTAAGTTTCACTTTTTTCTCCTAATTTCACTATTAAAATTCACATTTTCAAAATAAAGTAAAAATAAGCCGCAAAACACTGCCTTTTTATTTGTATTCCATTTAAAATATTAATTCACTGCTTAAATAATAATTACAGACTGGTAAAATTATCTGTGTTTATAGGTTTAGTTCTGATTGTTATTACAAATATTTATAGTATTATATTAAACTAATATTAAACATTACCATTCTCTCTCTCATATATATACGTATAAACATATAAGGTCTTCAGGAACTTTCTGAATTTCAGAAAATTTTCATAAGTGTGTAAAAATCCAGGAGGATTTCATATCAAATCTGGGCAGAATAATACAGTATAATTTTACAGAGATACACTGTAGCATTTATAATTTAAAACCTTAAAAGGATGCTTAGAGTTTCAGAGGATGAGGGGAAAAAATGCTAAATAAAAAACCATATAATGAAATACAATGCAAACTAGAGAGCTGTAGACTCATAAACAGTTTTTTTAATTTACAATCTAAATAAATGACTAATTCAAATTTCTTTATTGAAAGTGATAATGCAATGCAACAAATTAAACATTATGAAATGATGAATACATGTGATACAATTAGCTTCAATGTAATGAATTCTATTGAAAAATGAAAATTTCCATTTATTCTTTAAAAAAGATAATTAGGGTTTTTAGGTGTTTATAATTTGATTTGTACAAATTTTAAAATTGATGATAAGAAAAAGGATCGCTTTTGTTAGCGATTGTTTTGTGTAGTAGTATTTCGCACAAAACAGGATTTATTTTATTCTTCTTCAGCACAACAGCCCCTTACAGGCCTTGGCTGCCTCAACCACACGTAGCCTCCTATCCATGGTGACTTTTTCCCAGTTGTTAATCTTTATTACTTTGAGATCTTTGGCCCAAGATCCAGAAGGATTCTTAAAGGTGGCGATTTGTACTGCATTGTTTTCTGGATCTCTCCAGATAAGGCCAAGTATTAATATTTTGTTTGAATGATTGTATGGATTTTTAACTTTTTAATTATTTGATTCAGGGTTGGCATGTTTTTGACATGTGACAGTTTTTGACAGTTTAAACCATGGTTTAAACCGTCACGTCAAAAACCTCACTGTCAAAAATGTCGAAAATCTATATTCATATGTGAAATTTAATTAATACATAAAATTTATATATTTTTTATAAAGGATAGTGTTTCTAAATATGTTCTAGAAAAAATAAATTTAAAATTTTGAAGAAACACTTATATTTTGAATAGTAACCAAAATCTTGTACTTTTGAAAGCTCACATCTTTTGTAATATTATGTATTCATTTTCATGTGTTATTGAAAATCTGCAGTGATATTATTAAGAAATTTATTTATAACCAAATTTAGTGTATAGTATAGATTATACTAAAAATTAGACATTTTTAAAGATAAACATTAGCAGTTTTGTACATTAGACATCTTTTAAAGAAAAATCTTTTTAATATTCTTTTAAATCTTCTTAATAATCTTTTTAACATAAGACAATACAAATTTAAGTGCTTTCTGTTAAATACACAGAGTAGTTAGTGTCGATTTACAGTATATTCAGCCTATTCATTTACTATGCTGAAAATTTAGTTTATCCAAATACTTGTGAATTTCATTTTGCTGAATACTATATAGTTTTGTTGAATATCTAAATATTCAGCTGTTGAATAATTACTTCTTGCTTTCAAGATATGCATTATTTGTATTCTTAATACAAGTGGAGAAAAAAAAATTAAGAGATAAAAATTGTTTTAAAATGATAAGTGTAATAATTATAAATAAATATAATAAACAATATGAATTATATTTATCATTATTCATAAATATAACTACTTTTAAATTCAAATTAACATACTGGATAATAAAGATATTCGGTATAACATTAAAAAAAAAATTTTATACACTTGTATCTTATATCAAGTTTGTATTTATACAACATAACTTGTAAGTTCCTTATAAATATTAGTTATATGTTCCTTATATGTCAAAAATGCATAGTAATAAACTTTTAATTTTCTTAAGTATCAAAAAGAAAAAAAAAAATTTTTTAAATATAAATATTTAAACAATTTTTGTGCAAAATTTTTCTGCACATGCATTTGAATATAAATTTCTGAGATTTTAAATCTGTTATTTTACCTTAATTTTAATTAAAAAATATTTTAAAACCTGCTGATTACCTATAGTATAATTAAATTTCAATATAATGCATGGCAACTGTTGGTAGTTTTGAAGTTTATATATTTTCTTGGCAAACTTCAGTTTTTGACATTTTTGACGGTTTAAACCACCATTATACCCTTGTCATGTCAAAAACCACTTTTTGACGTCAAAAACCCAACCCTGATTTGATTTAATAATATTTAAATATTTCAAATCAGATTGCAATTAAGACATGATGCTATTGCAATTGTTCTATATGGTACAATTTTGGGCTAAGTTTGAATTGCTCTTTTTATTAATTTTTAATAACTTATTTTAATGTCTAATCTCTTGATTTACATAAAATTGCGATATTTTAAATTAGAACCTATTTATTGATGCAATACATCTGAACTTCGTTCAATTGCATGCGGCATAATTTTGAAAAGTTATTGAAAAAATTATTGAAATGTATAATTTCCAAATAAAAGGAAGATCATAACAGATGTGTTAAAACTGTGGTTGTTCACATGGTAAAATTTTGTACTAAGTATCAGATGGTGGGGGGCTTTCTTTTAAAAAACCTTTTCGTTTAACAGAATTTTGCGGGTGCGGTGTATATTCCAGGACAATGCAATTACAGCAGTACGAAATTTATAATTTACTGTAATAATTTTTATTATTATTCAAATTCACAGAAATAGAATAACAAAATTTTCTGTTTTGATAAGTCATTTCTTCAGTCCTTTGGGTGTAGTTACGCTTTGATTAAATTGTAGTATGAAAATCTTAAAAGTTTATATAAATACTTGGAATGAAATACATTCAGCTATATTAAAATAGAAGATAAGACATTTCTTTTAAATTATCAACACTAAAAATGCCTTAGGTTCCAGTTTTTAAATCAACATTTTTTAAAATTAATTTAAGGCGAAAATCTTCATGTTAGTTTTCATAAATTTTATTTACATCAGTATAAAATAGAACTGAACAGTATGATAAAACGTAAGTTATTATGACAGAATTAACCATTCCATGAATGAATTACAAATTTGTATATTGTTCCATTTATAGTTTTATAATACAAAATTTTAAGATAATTATAATTAGAAAGGGACGACTCAACCCTATATATTCAAATAGAAAACATAACATCTTCAAACTTAAGAAAAAATTTATCTCATCAACATTATTAATAATACAACAAAATTGCAAGATTACATTAATTTTTGAGAAAATAAAAAAATGAATGAATTCTAAAGTTTCAATTACGAAAAACAAAAACATCTTACTAGCATCATTCAGTGGTTTGATAAGGCCTCGACATCGTATTGGGACAGATGGAGCTGTAGAATTCTTCTTTGAATTATTTGCAGCATCAAGAGCTAAAAAAAAAGTATTTCACATAAAAAGGGGACATTTGAATAACATTTTCAAACAAAGAATCTAAAGCTTTTATGTGTAGCATCACTTACATTTCTGCAGTAATTCAGCACGGAGAGTGGCAGATTTAGGTTTTTGTTTTAATGCAAAATGTTTAACAGGTTGAGGTAGTTGACCAACGACAGAAGCTAAAGCAGTTCTATTTAAATACAAACATTCTAGTGGCAGCATTACTTGGTCACTATGCTTACGCACTGAAAAATAGAAATATGGTAAAAGGCAAATACTCAACTAAATACACTACGAATAAAAGATTTACACTGCAGTGTATTCATTGCAGAAAAAAAATGGGAGAAAATTTCTCACCCTTTCTCAAAAACAGGGTGAGATTTCAAAAAGTTAAGTGAGATTTCCATTTAAAAGCCACGTGAAAACCAAAATCGATAACTAACGAAAATACAATCGAAACATATCAATTTACGATACTATCTTTGTAAATTGCCAAAAAGTGGTTATTTAAATGCAGGATTAATTTTCAAAAGAAAAATCTTTTTGCAAGAACTATGTAGTGTTCTGCAACAATGTCGCCGTGTTGCTGCGAATTTGCCTCACCACAGGCTACTAATCTAACTTACTTAAGCTACATTAAGAACAAAACATTTTGAATTTAAAAATAAAACAAGAAATAACCTTACCAAAGTTTCCAATTCTGACACTTTAGATGATAAAAATTCTACACGCGTCTTGATAGTGCGACTTTCTTCTTCTTTACCATGAGCTGATTTAATTTTAGCCTCACAGTTCCTGGACAAATCTGCCATCTATAATTAATAGAAAAATAAATACAAAACAAAAAGAAAATAGTAACAATGTAAAAATAGATTTGNCAAAATTCGTGCATTTTGAAATTGATTAATAGAGTGCGCGAACTTCTCGCGTTAATAATTTTTTATTGCGAGAAAAGAAAAAATATGCGAGATTCTCGCGCTGTAGTGAAAACACTGCACTGGAAACAATGTGTTTCTAGACACAATACAATAATCAAAAGTGCAACAGTGCATTCTATATCTAAGACACCTTGATAAAGAATAAAGCTCTTTATAAAAATATATATATCTATAAGCCTAAAAGCAATAAGGGACAACCAATAGCAAGCAGAGGAGCAAGGGAATATCCAATTAACAGCTGTAGAATAATCTCTACTTACATTTACATAGAAAATAACTAAGAATATGGATTTAGATTATTATAATTCTTATGTTAATGATTATCATAAATCTAATTTCTTTCTTTTTAAAAACTCAATAGGATATTTTGTTCTTCCCAATCATTAGACTATACACCTCTGATGATAAAAACATTAAAATATACCAGAAGGATATGAGGTTAAAAAAAAGTCAAAAAATTATAAAGAGCTCATCCATATATGGATATAACTATTCAGATTTTAAACCAGCTCATTGCAGACATTGCTTAAAGTCAAATATTAAATACTACTTTTCTAATCCAGTTCAATGGATGCTAAAAATAAAATATCTTGAAAAAAATCTTGTATTACATAAATAACTTAGAATATTGAACACACAATGCTAACAAAACATCTGCAACTATAGTTAAGCTATTTAAAGCAAGAATCAGTGTTTTCACTATAGCGCGAGAACGCGAGAATCTCGCATATTTTTTTTCTTTTCTCGCATTAAAAAATGATTACCGAGAGAAATTCGGGCATTCTATAAATTAATTTCAAAATTCGCGAATTTCTCGCATTTTGGAAAAAGCTTCGAATTACGTCATTTAGAATAAAATCCGTTTCACCTTTCTTCCTGGATCTTCATTATTTTCAACACTTGCCCCGTTATCTAGCTTCCCTATTTACTAGCATTGTTCAGAACCTTTTCTAACAACAGAGCACAACCCCTCCGAACCACGGAACCACTTTCAGAACACATTTTTCTGCAACCACGTGTTTACTGTAGGTATGGTTTTTCATGTAAGACGTTCAAATTTTTTTATGCACTAATGTAAGATGGACAAATACCTAGTAAAGGCAAAATCTTCTATGATGATGCAGCAAAAATATTCAATGCTTTAAAAAATAGAAGACGTTAAAAATGTATTATAACAAAAGAAATTTTTTTTCCAAGTCTATTTGTATTTTTTCAGTTTTTAGAAATCTCACTTAACTTTCTGAAATCTCACCCTGTTTTTGAGAAAGGGTGAGAAATTCTCACCCATTTTTTTTCTATGATGAAAACACTGAGAATGGCAAGTATTTTTAACAGGGGGAAAAATTATTGAAATAAATAAATAAATAAATAAAACCAAGCAGAGAAGAATAGGTTTTTCAAACTCAAATGGAAACTTTTTTTAAATTCATTTTATGATTTTAACCAAGTTAAAATAAGTGAAAACTAATAGGCAATAATTGAAAAAAAAAATTTACTGAGTTTCTTAAGAAAATAAAATAACGAACGTTCTTCATATTTTGTAAAGTTAGTTAAGCAATATATTGTATAAATTATTACCTTATTTTATAAATACGTACATAAAGAGCTGTTAAAATAACTTGATCAAATTTTATTAATTAATACTAAATTAACAAATTAATACTAAACATATATACTACTACAAACCATATATTCAATTTGCAATTTCAAATATATTGATTACTATAATCAAGTACTGTTAAGTATGAGCTCTCTAACAGATTCTTAAACAGTTTGATATATATGTAGATTTTAAAATTCTGTATAAAACTAATTCAAAAATATTTTTCTTTGAGTTCTCAAAGAAAAGTAGGAATTAAAAATGGAACTTTTTACTACATTAAATTCACTTAGTTTAAATTTAAGCTATTCTTATAACATTTATTTTTAAACAATTGTACTGTCCTCTTTTAATTTCTTCCAGACAAAATGCCAATCTTGCTTTAAAGACTATATTCTAATACATAAAAAAATGAAATAAAAAAAAATTTAAACTATCATCTATGACATCTAGTGTATAATCCAGAAAAGATTAAAAAATATTATGAACAAGCATAAATTTATTACTGTTTTTTTATGAATATCAATATAAATTTATGAATGAAAAACTGCTTTAAAAATAATTAAAATCTCTAAAGTCTTTGGTTCAAACTATGCTGGCCTTTGATAGTCTACGATATTTACGGATATTTTTAAGAAAATTTTAATCCACAGTGCAAATTTAAAAATTAACCCTTAATTAAACAAACAATTTTAATGTATCATGTACCTAATTTCTTCAAGTCATTGACAACATCAGTAAATACAGATGCATTTTCCTCAATCTGGAAATTTAAAAGTCCAGTACTGGGATAAGACTTTAAGAGCTCGGCAAGCATAGACACCCATTGATCACTATCAACAAGAGCAACTTCAAGAATTTCTTCTAGTTCAATTTTCCACTGAAAGTTAAAGATTATAAACAATTTTGATTATAATTTTTTTGATTATTATTTTGACACCATCTTTTCACATAAACAAATGAGCTTTGCATCTTAATATAGCATTCAGAAAACTTAAATACAAATTGGGTGAAAAAAAAATTTGTTACTATAGCAATGTTAATAATCTAATTAATAAAATAAAAATTATCACTCTCCAAAAGCATAATAACATAACTAATCTGTAATAAAAATTCTGCAAAAAATTTAGATCATTTGAGTTCAATAAATGTTAGTATATGATGCAATTTTTTTACTGTTCAAGTATAACCATAAACAAGGCATATTTAGTATAAAGAAAAATTTAAGTTTTTTTTTTATCATTAATGATACTTTAAATTAATTTGCAGCAGCATGTTTCAATTGTTCAATGCCAATTTTAGTCGGATCCTAATAGTTGATACATGCAGGATTTCAAGATTTATTTTTTTAAGAAGCATAGCACAGTGATTCTCAACCTTTTATTTGCTGCGGCACACTTTTAACGACTTCGAAATTTGACGGCACACAATGAAAAACATTAGATTAAAAGCTGTTTACTTACCTATTATACACTGTGTCAAATAGTTTGGGATAATAATTTTGAATGTGAAATAAAATAATGTACTACAAAAGCACGTTTATTAAGGGATTAATTATTTCTTTCGACTAATTTTTGATTAGTTAGTAACAGTTATTTATTTTTTCTGCTAGTTATTAATTGTTAGCTTGTTTTCTATAGTTATTAACTGTTAGTTTTTTGTGTGATTTCTTGTTAACAATTAATAATTAGCAAAAAAACCTAGTTAGCTTATTTTTTGCTAGTTATCCTTTAATTTGTTTTTTATATATTTGTTTTTTTAGTTACCCATTGTTAATTTGTTTATTAATTTCATAGCTTACTTTTATGATGAGCTTTTATTTCCCTTTGAAAGCATATATATATATAAGTATAAGCATATATATATATATACACTTTTCTTTAATTTAAACTCTACTAATAATAAAAAAAAGCATTATAATTTTTATTGTATCGTTTCTAATATTTGGCGGCAAATTTTAAGAATTTGGCGGCACAGTGGTTGAGAATCACTGGTATAGCACATAGGCTTGTATTAAGCAAGATAATTCTGTCAATAATAATAAATGTTGTAGGTAATTAAAACTTTTATAAATTTACAGACAACTGTCATAGGTTTCTTAACATTCTTTGAAGTAAAAAAATTGTTGCTTGTTATTTTTATTAATAGTATTTTGATACTGTATTGAACTTTTTTATTAGACATATAAGTTCAAAATTTTTTTTTTTACATGAACATTTACTTGAGACTCATAATGAAAATATTTTTCACTTAATTCTTAGCAAAAATTCAAAAAGCATGTTGAAAGATATTACGGAACACCAGGAAAGTTTGAATAAAAAAAATTGCTTACATTTTATAGAAATTAAAATGAAAAAATAGCTTATGGTGTTTTAAAAATAAAACACCAGAAATGTCAAAATTATTTTAGTTTTGCTCTGAAGTCCCAGAATATGTGATTAGAGTTGAAAACCCCTCAAAGAGTTAATGGAAAAATTTTACTTCCACTGAATCCTCTGCAGAAACATTGAATTTGGCAGTTACATAAACCTATTTATTCTTGCAAACTTACTTTAATTTTATGTAAAAAATTTATTTCTGTATGTGATAACATTTACATTTAAGGAGCATTAAAGTCTTTTTAAGTGCTAAGGGCCTCTGAGGTTTTTAATCCAGCCATGGAGCAAGCTTATATACATTTTACCTTAATTTATTGCAAATTAAACTGAAAAATTTCCTTTGATGCATTGGAAATTCCAGTTGCATAAATAGCATTACAGATAGAAATACTTCTAGGAAAAATAACTAAATTAATCTTCACATTAACTAATTTCCAAATTACAGAAATTATTAGGCAGCAAAATTTAATCGCAATTGAGTTTTAAATGGTTGGAGCAGATGTCAAAATAACACCCTTCTCAATTGCAATTTTTTTCTATAAATTCATTGGAGAAATCTTATATTGCACAGTTACTAGTCTTTAATAATGTTAAATTGATTTTACAGTAATACACTGCTGTTAACTTTATCCATATTTCTTTCACACAAAAGAAAGTTATTTTTTTCGTTACCTGCAATAACATTCTGTAATAGTCCTTTAAGGCTAACTTTTTTTGAGAGCCTAAAACTATTAACATATTGTCACTGTTTAGTACTAAGAGCTGTATTTAAACTAAGAAGAGTTTGTAAAAAAATTTCAAAATTGGGTAACCTAATTTAATGAAGGTTACATAAATAAAAATTTACAAATTGACAAGTTTAATATGATTTTGAACCATTGTATAAATATTTTTTAGAAATCTTAGTTCAGTAGTATAGAAGATTGAAACATTTAAATGAAGGATGTATTTAATATTTGAGTAATACCTAAAAAAAGGATTGAATATTATAGTCATTCATCTCATTGCCAACTGTAACGTTTGACAATTTACAGATTAGAAATCATTAATACTACGCAAGAAAAATTGACATTCTAAGGAGCACATGACGGAAATGAAAAACCTGCACAGACTATAACAGGTTGCCAATCAAATGAAAGTGAGCATGAAGACGGCAAAATGTAAACAAACATTACACAACATTTAGATATTATTTCAAATAATTGCATATTGAAGGTTACAGATAATAAACAAGAACTAGGGTTGGACTTAAAATAATTAGTTACAAAACGCAAGATTGGAAAAAGTAATCAGATTGCATTTAAATTTTATAACATATGTTTGGTCATACTTCTTCGACATTCCTTCGGGGTATGTGCAGAAAAGAAAGTAATAATTTCAGCTTTACTTGGGGTTGTAACTCTATGAAACATTCTCTAATATTTCGCAAAACATCTTGATTTAATTGTGAACAAATTGAGCCACCTGACCATAAGTCGTTACTGGTTCCTAGCTTATTATGAAGCCAGAGAGACGTGTCACTGTCTCTCACATGCGCCATGTTGGAAAACCTCGATGGCGAGCGCCATTTTTCTAGAGCTGGGGCTATCGTTGCCAATAAAGTTTTTAAATAATGTTTTTATTTACAAATGTATGGCTTCAGTATATACGTCAGTAGTGACGTCAAAGAGTCCAAAAGACATAGTGCTGCTCGTTTGAAGCATGTTTTTTTACAGTAAAAATAAATTACCTGAATGAAATACATTATAGTAATAAGAAAACAATTCAGCGAATCTATTGGCGTGATCATTTATTTTTCACTGAACTGGGAGAATATTTGTTTTAAAATGGTTTCTCACTTATGAAAAGTTTAAAATACTCATACTTTGCGTATTAACTTAACTTTTCATTGCTATTTTTATATTTGATTATATTTATTGTTTTCATAACATTATAATAGCAGCAACGAAAATAATAATTATATGAATGCGTACACAAAAGCGTCAGTTATTAGTTTCATAATACTTGTCAGTTATTAGCGCCAATACGTGGACAAATCTGCGAGATTTTTGATACTAGTATTTTATTTCGCGTTGAAGGTATATAAAGTTTTCTAAAATCTATCGTATTAAAATCGATTCTAAAATCGAAAAGTAATATTCAGATATTACTTGCTATTGAGTTTAAATTATGATTAAAATAAAATACTTTTCATGTTTGTTAAAGAAATAAAATATTATTTGTATATGTTTCTGTGATACCTTCATTGATGATATCGTCTAAAGTATTTTCAATTTTTCAATTAGAGTTTTGCTTATATAGTTTCTGAATGATAAAGTTTTAAAAAGTCGAACTTTTCAATTCTTACTTCTTAAAAATTATTTGACCAGTTGTGTTCAAATTTTGTATTTTGTCATTAAAAATACCATAGTTTAAAATAACTTAAAAATTAGCTATTTTTTTTCTGACCAACTTTTATCCAATAAACAACAAATAATTAATTAAAACAATCCTTTGCATGAAATAATCTTTAAGTAATTCTATGATTGTATGATTGTTCGATGATTGTAAGAAAATTGTCTTTGATTCAATATAAAGTTTTATTTCAATATAAGGAATATTTGGAATCGTTTTTTTAAATTTTTTTTTATCATAAGCATTTTTTATTTTGCGTTTTTTAGTTTATAATTGTTTGATAAAAACTGTTGTCACAAAACTTTTTTTTGCAAAATAAAATGGTTTAATATTATATGTTTCTACTGTATACTTTTTGCATATTTTAATGTTTGAAGTAATATGATTCAGAAAAGTATGGAATGTAACGTTTAAATAGACCTTTTAGGTTAAATTATTAAATTTAGAAGAACGATTTCTCATTCACTAGGTTTTAACTCTAATAAGAAGAATTTTTAGCAATATTTTTTGATGTATTTTGGATGTTCCTTTCCTAAAAAAAAGGAGATTCCCTTTTGTTTTCACTTGCATAAAAAAGGATATCAATCATTTTTCTTTTTTTAATTTTTATGAGCCCCAATAAAGAAGGAACGTTACCGTACTACAATGAAGAAATCTCCAGTGCAACTGATGATCATGTTGTTCTGTTAGCAGACAGTCGTCTCAAATAACAACGCCCCTATAGGTCGTTGCTTTTGCGAATATAGTTTTTCCGTTGTGTTAAAAAAAGAGATCAATTGAATGCAATTTATATATAAAATTTATATGAATAACTAGAAGAATAAATACTGAATGATTAGTTTTGTTGCGTGATTAAATTTGTATGAATTGTTTTGCTGGAAAAGTGAAAAATATGTTCGATTCCCTTTTTTCAAACTTGCTTCTACTGATAAGCAAAAGGATCTGAATTGTATTATTATGCATTTATAATAATAACTCATGAAATTAATATTGCAATTAAACTCAAAGTGTAACATAAAGACAGAAATTTTACTGAAGTTTATTTAGAAATAATTTTGTTTTCGTATAAAACGCACATTGCGCTCGTTCTTATCTTTATATTCGCATTTTTTAATAAATTTTTTTCATCATAACATATTATCGATAACTAACCATTTATCAGATTTTTTAAAGAATTTTAAATAAAAATGTATAAAATAAGCTTCATATCTTTAGATTAGTTTTCCCCCCCATTGCCCACCTGACGAATGACATTTTGTCAATACAGGCATCTGAAGGGGATATTTGGTGGCCACTCTTTCAGGGGTACCATATTTGGTGGGCCAAAGTTGTTCCCAGAGTAAGGACAAATAGTACAGGGAATGAAAGAACATCCTTGCCTTGTCCGGGATTTAAACTTAGAATCTTTCCGATCGTTCGGCTTAGATTAGTTTGTAAATGAGTGCTAGAATGAGTTCTAGAACGTGAAGATACCATAATTAAATTAAAAGTTATTCAGGGTGGTCCGTTTCTTTACTTTTTATTTTTATTTTGGTGCGCTGTTCATAAGCCACACCGTAAATTTTATTCATGGCATAAAGTTGCTGATCTTTAAATTTGAACATTTTACAAAGTGGTGCTTTTTTTTTAATACGTTAGAAAACTGTATCAAGCAGAACCCCATCGAAAAGATTGAAGTAAAAAGTATACACCTTTTTCAAGTGCTTTAAAATTCTGTTGATTTCTACTAAGAAACGTATGTTTAGGAAAATGAAAATTATAAATAAATAAAACTTCCTTCAATTAAATTTTTTTAATAATACTTGAAACAATCAAATTAAGCAAATAGTAATATTTATTTTAAACATGTGAAGAATCCAATACTGTTTGTTATTAATAGTCGAACCCCGCTATAGTGAACCGTCTGCGGACTCAGTAATGTGTCCACTATAACCGATGGTTCACTATATCCAAATTTTTTGAAGAATATTTTTTGCATAAGACAGTTGAATGATTGAAAATTGGCTTTGCAATTTTGCATAAGTTATTTAAAAAATTATTAACTAATTAACAGATAATAAAGCAAAAATTGATGGAAAAAGTAATTACGTCGCTAAATATTAGTTTTATTTTCACTTTTTATGAAAAAAATTTGTGATTTTTGATTGAACACAATTTGATTTTAAATTGAGTTCATCAATTTTCTTATCTACAATGTGC